CATACAAGCTCAAAGGGCCATACTACTAACCCGCAATATTTATTATGTACATGGGAACAAATATGGCACACTACTAGCACAAGCATTAAAGGTGAAAAGGCAACGATCATACATAGCCAAATTGCGAGACAAAAAAGGTACACACAATAACATGACAGAAGACATAGAAGAAGCATCCAGGAACTTCTATAGAGAGCTTTATAACCTTCCCCGGCCTCCGGGATCAGAAACAGACCTACTTGACCAAACATATGACACATTATTAGATGCCCCCTGCACAGTGGAGGAGCTGGACACGGCCATTAGATTGCTACCCCCCGGAAAGAGTCCAGGTCCTGATGGATTGACCAATAGGTACTATAAACTATTCAGGACTAACTTCTCTACCAAACTGCGAGAGATAACACGACCAAAATAGTGAACATCCAAGGCATCCAATACACCCTTGGCCTTACTATCTATAGACGCCATAAAGGCGTTTGACAGGGTGGACTGGCCCTATCTGTTTGCAGCGATGGAGGCACGGGGGCTTGGGACTAAGTATTGCAGGTGGGTAAGGTGTTTGTATACTGGCCCCTCTGCTACTGTAGGAGTGAACGGCTGAGACTCCAGGCCCTTTACAATAGGGAACGGCACCCACTAGGGGTGCCCGTTATCCCCCTAATTTGCATCCTCTCCCTCGAGCCTCTACTGCAGGCCATACATGGCTATACATATAAACGTGGGGAGATTAAAGTGAAGGCCTTTGCCAATGATGTCCTTGTTTTGATCACCAAGCCCACCCAGTCAATACAGCATGTTGTATAGGAACTACATAGGTTTAGCTCCCTCTCAAATGATAAAATAAACATCAATAAGTGCAAAGTGCTCAGTGTAGGAGTCCAAAACGCAGTTAAAACTGGCATTACCCAAGCATATGGCTTCCAATTGGCAAAGAAAGAAGTCAAGTACCTAGGGATAAACGTTACCCAGACACTAACCATACTAGGCAAATTATTCCCCCCTCCTGGAACAGGTAAAACAGGACCTAGCTAGATGGGATCTCCCGAACTTATCAATGATAGGGAGGATCAATGTCTTAAAGGTGACGGTTATGCCAAAGATATTGTACATCTTTCAGACACTGCCCATCCATGTACTGAGGACAGTTTTTAACACCATGAAATGCTTATTCACATCATACAACACCCCTTCATCTCTTATAAAGTTCTGACGGCACAGGGAGAAAGAGGAGGATTGGGATTACCTCATGTGTACCACTATTACACTGAGGCACTTATGGTACGCTTAAAAGAGTGGACAGATAGGCGGTCCCCCAGGGCCGACTTGAAACAGGGATTTCCCACAGCCCCTCTGGAAACTTTATCGTGGCAAACATGCCATCTAAATAAACTTGTACCGACTTTCCACCCCTTTCAGGGCCACATTCTCCATACATGGAGGAAAATTAAAACCATTTGTAAGCTGTCCTCTGGGACATCCCCATTATGCCCGATTGCTCACAATCCAGATTTCCAACAAGGAAATGGAGGGGAATTGATCTCTTAGAGGTGATGCTATATTCCCAGCTGTCCATTTATCTCAAGAAATACAGGGAGTGCAGAATTATTAGGCAAGTTGTATTTTTGAGGATTAATTTTATTATTGAACAACAACCATGTTCTCAATGAACCCAAAAAACTCATTAATATCAAAGCTGAATATTTTTGGAAGTAGTTTTTAGTTTGTTTTTAGTTATAGCTATGTTAGGGGGATATCTGTGTGTGCAGGTGACTATTACTGTGCATAATTATTAGGCAACTTAACAAAAAACAAATATATACCCATTTCAATTATTTATTATTACCAGTGAAACCAATATAACATCTCAACATTCACAAATATACATTTCTGACATTCAAAAACAAAACAAAAACAAATCAGTGACCAATATAGCCACCTTTCTTTGCAAGGACACTCAAAAGCCTGCCATCCATGGATTCTGTCAGTGTTTTGATCTGTTCACCATCAACATTGCGTGCAGCAGCAACCACAGCCTCCCAGACACTGTTCAGAGAGGTGTACTGTTTTCCCTCCTTGTAAATCTCACATTTGATGATGGACCACAGGTTCTCAATGGGGTTCAGATCAGGTGAACAAGGAGGCCATGTCATTAGATTTTCTTCTTTTATACCCTTTCTTGCCAGCCACGCTGTGGAGTACTTGGACGCGTGTGATGGAGCATTGTCCTGCATGAAAATCATGTTTTTCTTGAAGGATGCAGACTTCTTCCTGTACCACTGCTTGAAGAAGGTGTCTTCCAGGAACTGGCAGTAGGACTGGGAGTTGAGCTTGACTCCATCCTCAACCCGAAAAGGCCCCACAAGCTCATCTTTGATGATACCAGCCCAAACCAGTACTCCACCTCCACCTTGCTGGCGTCTGAGTCGGACTGGAGCTCTCTGCCCTTTACCAATCCAGCCACGGGCCCATCCATCTGGCCCATCAAGACTCACTCTCATTTCATCAGTCCATAAAACCTTAGAAAAATCAGTCTTGAGATATTTCTTGGCCCAGTCTTGACGTTTCAGCTTGTGTGTCTTGTTCAGTGGTGGTCGTCTTTCAGCCTTTCTTACCTTGGCCATGTCTCTGAGTATTGCACACCTTGTGCTTTTGGGCACTCCAGTGATGTTGCAGCTCTGAAATATGGCCAAACTGGTGGCAAGTGGCATCGTGGCAGCTGCACGCTTGACTTTTCTCAGTTCATGGGCAGTTATTTTGCGCCTTGGTTTTTCCACACGCTTCTTGCGACCCTGTTGACTATTTTGAATGAAACGCTTGATTGTTCGATGATCACGCTTCAGAAGCTTTGCAATTTTAAGAGTGCTGCATCCCTCTGCAAGATATCTCACTATTTTTGACTTTTCTGAGCCTGTCAAGTCCTTCTTTTGACCCATTTTGCCAAAGGAAAGGAAGTTGCCTAATAATTATGCACACCTGATATAGGGTGTTGATGTCATTAGACCACACCCCTTCTCATTACAGAGATGCACATCACCTAAAATGCTTAATTGGTAGTAGGCTTTCGAGCCTATACAGCTTGGAGTAAGACAACATGCATAAAGAGGATGATGTGGTCAAAATACTCATTTGCCTAATAATTCTGCACTCCCTGTACATACTACCAGTCTGGAAAGAGAGGGACCTGACCCCCATTGAGACGTTGTGCACATCGGGCACCAGAGTGCACCGACCTCTATCGTACTTTTGTGCTCTAATACAAAAACACACCCCTGAGAACCCTACCCCCTCATTCTGGGATAAATGGTGCTCTATCCTAAAAATACAGTTAAACCGCAAAGAGATGTTTTACAGTTGCAAGAAAAAGTATGTGAACCCTTTGGAATGATATGGATTTCTGCACAAATTGGTCATAAAATGTGATCTGATCATCATCTAAGTCACAACAATAGACAATCACAGTCTGCTTAAACTAATAACACACAAAGAATGAAATGTTGCCATGTTTTTATTGAACACACCATGTAAACATTCACAGTGCAGGTGGAAAAAGTATGTGAACCCTTGGATTTAATAACTGATTGAACCTCCTTTGGCAGCAATAACTTCAACCAAACGTTTCCTGTAGTTGCAGATCAGACGTGCACAAAGGTCAGGAGTAATTCTTGACCATTCCTCTTTACAGAACTGTTTCAGTTCAGCAAAATTCTTGGGATGTCTGGTGTGAATCGCTTTCTTGAGGTCATGCCACAGCATCTCAATCGGGTTGAGGTCAGGACTCTGACTGGGCCACTTCAGAAGGCTTATTTTCTTCCGTTTAAGTCATTCTGTTGTTGATTCACTTCTATGCTTTGGATCATTGTCCTGTTGAAACATCCATCTTCTGTTGAGCTTCAGCTGGTAGACAGATGGCCTTAAGTTCTCCTGCAAAATGTCTTGATAAACTTGGGAATTCATTTTTCCTTCGATGATAGCAATCCGTCCAGGCCCTGAGTCAGCAAAGCAGCCCCAAACCATGATGTCCCTACCACCATACTTCACAGTTGGCATGAGGTTTTGATGTTGGTGTGCTGTGCCTTTTTTTCGCCACACATAGTGTTGTGTCTTTCTTCCAAACAACTCAACTTTGGTTTCATCTGTCCACAGAATATTTTGCCAGTACTGCTGTGGAACATCCAGGTGCTCTTGTGCAAACTGTAAACGTGCAGTAATGTTTTGTTTGGACAGCAGTGGCTTCCTCTGTGGTATCCTCCCATGAAATACATTCTTGTTTAGTGTTTTATGTATTGTAGATTCGCTAACAGGGATGTTAGCATATGCCAGTGACTTTTGTAAGTCTTTAGCTGACACTCTAGGATTCTTCTTCACCTCATTGAGCAGTCTGCACTGTGCTCTTGCAGTCATCTTTACAGGACGGCCACTCCTAGGGAGAGTAGCAGCGGTGCTGAACTTTCTCCATTTATAGACAATTTGTCTTACCGTGCACTGATGAACAGCAAGGCTTTTATAACCCTTTCCAGCTTTATGCAAGTCAACAATTCTTCTCAGGTCTTCTGAGAGCTCTTTTGTGCGAGGTATCATTCACATCAGGCAATGCTTCTTGTGAAAAGCAAACCCATAACTAGTGTGTGTTTTTTATAGGGCAGGGCAGCTGTAACCAACATGTCCAATCTCATCTCATTGATTGGACTCCAGTTGGCTGACATCTCACTCCAATTAGCTCTTGGAGATGTCATTAGTCTAGGGGTTTACATACTTTTTCCACCTGCACTGTGAATGTTTACATGGTGGGTTCATTAAAAACATGGCAACATTTCATTCTTTGTGTGTTATTAGTTTAAGCAGACTGTGATTGTCTATTGTTGTGACTTAGATGATGATCAGATCACATTTTATGACCAATTTGTGCAGAAATCCATATCATTCCAAAGGGTTCACATACTTTTTCTTGCAACTGTATAAGAGAGAAGTCATGTTGTACAAGACATCCTCGTTTCTCCATGCCCTGGTGTAAGCAACAGGTGTTGGAGATGCATGAGAGAAGAGGGTACATTATATTACATATGGTGGCAGTGTTCGATCATTCAACCCTTTTGGACACACGACTAGAAGTAATTAAGGGAATATTCCCAAGCATACCTGCTTTGACCCCAAGTGCTGATAGGGTGGCCAAACTCCACAAAAATGAGGAGGCGAATGCCCTGATACATTTTCTACGGTGGAAAACTGAACCACCTTCCATTACCCAATGGATAAACCAGGTGGAGGAAGTGAGGGTCATGGAGGAACTTCACTGGTCCTCTAGGGGCCTCCGTGGTAAATATGTGGGGATATAGAAGCCCTGGATTGCACACTGGGAATTGGAGGGCGATGATGGGAGAGGGGTGGATCAGGGCAACAATAGAGACAATTAGGAAGTGACACTGGTATAGGTAGGACCAATAGAAGCTGCAAATTGCCATTGTACAACCCACTTGGAGCAAGGGTTTTTATGTTTTTTGTTTCAACAGTGGCCAGCGCAAACGGGTTAGTAGTTTTAGTTAATTTCTAATCATTATTTGTTTACCTTGGATATTGCCATAACTGGAATAATTGTATGAAGTTCTGTTTACAGTAAATGTAAATGCATATATACGATAGGTCCTTAGGACCGAAGCATCAGAGTAGCGACACCACTATAATAAGATTACACACAGATGGCTGATGTGTACCCATAAGAGCCTGGTATGCAATGTGTATTAAACTGCAAGAGTTAAAGTTATGTTATGGGAAAACTAACATTGTAAAAATTGTTGAGTATGTATGTTTTCTGTACCACTTGTAACAAAAACGCAACTCATACTTTGAAATATGGACAAATGTACAACCTGTATTTTCCAATTATGTCCAATAAAAACAAATTATACAAAAAAAATTAGTTGTCAGAGAAATGTGGACTACTAAGCAAGTTATAATTGTAGATGATAATGTAAGTTTTATATTTAAGATTTGTTCATGAAATTACATTTTATCTATTTTACAGCAACTCTTGGACAACCGGACAGAATAAACAGAATGTTGATGTATGGGTTCAGTCTCCAAAAAAAACATTATCTGATCTCCATGGCTAGTTTCTGGAGACCATATTATGGGAAGCACATTAAGGTAGCAATGACCTACTAGACTAACACCCTGTTTCAACTGCAAAACTTGCCTGATATGCCTAGATAACACCAAAATAGAATCAGGAATAATAAACACAATATTATACTGATCCCGTGGGAATGGGAGCACACTGCTTCACTTAGCCACTGTTTTACACAGTATGGTAGTCTTACTCCTTCGGAGGAAGTATACCAATTAGCAGTGCATGTTAAGATGTGAGCATATTTTCAATGTTTCTATTAGAAAATGGGTTTTTATGCCATCTGCCACTTAAAAAGTAGCTTCTCTCTAACCAGAAACACGCTGCAGTGGAGAAGATCCTTAGGCCTGATCACCAACCAACTACATACAGCTGGCATGGAGTATAGATGGGGATTGCCTAGGACTCTAACACTGGTCAAAAATGGGACCACACTTAGACTCACCTCCCTGACAGAAGCAGCATCCTTACGGCAAGCTCTGGGATTCGCACCGCAACCTGCGGCTACAGCGGAATCCTCCAAGCAACACACGTGGGACTCTGTAAGGATTGTCCCGTTCGCTCCACGCAGAGGAGAAAGGCTGGGGGCACCTACTTGAATTACATCTCACAATGTGGCATCTCCCAAGTTATGCAGTTCTCTCAAGCAATGGTGTTTGTTTTAAGTGTCCTGCAATTATGTTTGATTTTTCTTGTCATCTTTTCTTTACCTCATGTTTCTGATGCAAAGTTATCGTGTATGACATACATATGTTACAATGTGGATTCCCTCGCCCCGGCAAGTAACCTGTTTCGAGGCCTAAGCATCGGATGCTCATTATCCTCAAACCCCCCTCCCCTCTTAGCTCCCTTTGGTCAAGGGCCGATTGTGACGATACAAGCATGTGTGTACAATCTATGCACAGCCAAATTAAAAAATTTCAAAAAAAAACTTTGTTAACTTTGTCCTGTTCACAATTTCCTTATTTCAAATTGAGCCACCTGCAGTGCCACTTGTTGAAGTGTGAAGGACCATCTAGCAGACCCAAGCTCCATTCATGGAACTTTTTATGAAGCTGTAGATAGGGATATCAAGTGTTTGTGAAATATCTCTAACTTCTGCAGGGATACTGCTTTTGTTTTTTTCTCATGACAAGTTTTATAAGGATCTGAAATCAATCAGTGTACAATATTAACATAACAGCAATACATGAATTAGAGTAGGTAAATACAAATTATAAACATGATAACTAGACCATGTCAATTAAAACATTAGATTAAGTATAGTCAGTTCTATATCAATGCGATAGAATTGAGGCCCATTTAAGGTCACCTTATGGTTAATCCTGCTCTGCCTCTAATACATTAATGATGATATGTGGTATACGCTGAAAAATTAAAGATCTTAAAATGAAGTATACGTTCTTGTTGCCAATGACAATGAGCCACTCTGGTAAGTTATGCACAAATCATTAGTCCCCAAGGTGCACTAGTAAACAGTTCAAAGTTGTCTTATGATTTATGAGTATGTATTTTTTTATGACTTACCCTGATTACTACTCCAGCTAGTAGATTAACCCAACTACCACTGGTGTATCCTGGTTTTGTGCTGCCCTAGGCAGGACAAAACTCAGGCACCCCCTGCCCCCGCGCCACCCCTACCCAACCCTTCCCCCCGCCCCACCTTCTAAATACTGCGCCGCAGAGTGAGGCTGGGAGCCTGAATATGTAGTCATCAACCCGGCTCCCAGCCTCACTCTGCGGCGCGCGAGGGAGCTGAGCACACAGCTCAGAGGAAGAGCTCCCTCGCCAGCCGCCCACACACACACACAAACAGTCAGACATACACACACACAGTCAGACACACACACACACAGGCAAACACAGTCAGACACACATACACACACAATCACTCACATGAACACCTTTTTTTTTTTAAAATTTACCCCCCCGCCCCCCGCCTCCTTACCTTTGGGAATGCTGGGGGGTGGGGAGGGGTTCCTCTTTCTCCCTGGTGGTCCAGTGGCTGCCGGTCGGGCTGAGGGGCTGGCGAGGGAGCATTTCCTCTGAGCGGTCTGCTCAGCTCCCTCGTGCGCCGCAGAGTGAGGCTGGGAGCCTGAATATGTAGTCATCAACCCGGCTCCCAGCCTCACTCTGCGGCGCGCGAGGGAGCTGAGCACACAGCTCAGAGGAAGAGCTCCCTCGCCAGCCGCCCGCCCAGCTCCCAGCATGTCTGTTAGCCGCGAGGCTAACTAAGCATTTGCCCTGGGCATTTGGGGGGCGGCGTTTTTTGCCGCCCCCTGAAAAATGCCGCCCAAGGCAAATGCCTTGTTTGCCTCGCGACTAATACGTCCCTGCCAACTACCGGCAGTGACTGAATTACTGGATTATTTACTAAAGTGAGATATCAAAATTAATTCAAAGTGATTTTCAAATGTAATGCAACTAGAAACATAGCTGACAAATAATTTTCCCAGTTTGATTATTGTGACCTAAAAATTGAAATTCACTTTGAATTCTCACTTTAGGGAATAATCCAATGAATGAATGTTTCATACTTGAAATGTGAACCTGTTGAGAGAGAAGACTTTTTTTCTGTTCATCTTATAATTTTTTTTTTATCCATGTGATTTATGTTAAAGACAAAATAAAAATGTAGTAAGCCAATCACAATAAATGATTTAATGGAAGTTTATTTTATTTAAATTTTTCAGAAAAATAAAGATTTTTGTTTTCACATACATAGATGCTTTTTCATTTTTGTAATCTTCTATGGATGTTAACGCAAGAGGATTTATCAACTAAACACGAAAATCGCACTTCACAGCACATTTTTGCACTTTATTTCATTGATAATAATAAGTGTACTTTAGAAGTGACATTACAAGCACATAAGCGTTGCGCTACTTTTATGTTAAATTTGATAATTTTGTATGTAAGGAGGGATTACATACTGTGGTGAGACAGCAGCAGTTATTTAAATTTGTATTGCACTACATAGATCAAAAAGGAAAATTCACTAAATAGCACTTTTGCATGATCACTTTTTTTTTCTCTTTTTAATATAGATTCTATGATACTTAGCTTGGATTTGACGCTTTTTAGTTGGCTGAGAAATATAAGATTTTTAGGTGAGGAGCAGCTGAAGAAATCAGTGTCTACCACAATTTGTGTTTTAATGTGTTTTCTTTTTTGTTGTTGTTCCTTGCACCATTTCCTTTTATCTAAAGGCATTGTGCATTATAAACCAGTGTTTTGTGTGATCCAGGTACGTAAAAAAGTTGTTCTGGAATAGACACCCGGCTTGTTGGGTAAAGCACACCCAGTTCCAAAGCTCACACTTCCAATGAGATACCATGTACCGTTATATTGTGTTGTCACCAAGGGCCCTCCAGAGTCTCCCTGTGTTTAAAAGAAAAAGAAAACTTTCACTCTACTTTTAATCTGCCTTATTTTGGTGCATGTTTAGTTTAAAAAGGAATTTAAATCAACAACATAGCAGTGTTTAACAAGAAATATTGCAAACAGAGGAAGTAGATGAAGGGTAACAAGAAATGGGAGGTAGACTGTAGATAGGCTGGAAAGGATATTGCCAATTTTTGTTTTCAATATTGCCAATTTTTAAGTGTGAGTTATGCCATGGTTGGGTATTCAGAGCTTCTCCTCCCCACAAATGATCATATATACATGCTTCCAAATGAAATGAATGAGTAAATAATGACTTGCCGACGTGAAAAAAAGAGGAAGTTTTAATTAAAATCTTGGTATCAATAAAGCTGCAGTATAAAGATGAGAGCTGGAATGTGGACATAATGCTTGTTCCAGCAAACTGCTGAGTATGTGGACATGTCCATTAGCTTTTTTTTGTCCATGTACTGAAATGCTTCCTTTTAAACACTGATATATGAGCCTTGAAATTGTTCTAGTGTTCTTACTTGTGTACCATAACTATAATGGCTTTAAATTCTGCTCTGATATCTTTAGTAAGTTCAACTATTTACTGGAGTTAAATGCCAACATAGAAGTATGCCTTCAGGCAGTGTATATTTTTCTTCATTTCCACACATCCCAAGATTTGGAGGTATAAATTCGGAAGTGGACCCAGCCACCGAAAGGGTCGTGTCAGTGAAGGGGCACATCCGCCTTGTGTTAAGCACATCAGGCTGGCAGGCATTCTTCTGGGTAGCCCCCAAAATACAGGACCATGTGAGGAGTCTGGCTGAAGTGCTCTCT